TTGGGCTTTTGAAATTTCATAACTTCCCATGACCTTTTCCATGATCTTTCTGAGTTCCCCATGACCTATGTTAAGCAGCTGTTCCCAGAGTATTGTCAAAACAATCTATTATTTAAGATATTTTCCCACATTATGACACAAAATGCATGCTAGTGTTAAAACTGGTTTTCTGACTTGTCTGTGGTTTTTCCAACTTTTGAATTTTTTTGCCTGTTCATTCTCAGAAAGTTAATTGCTTTTCAATGTCTTTCCATGACCCACACCTCAATTTCAGGACTTTCCAGGCCTGGAAAATGAAATGATAACATTCCATGATTTTCCAGGTTTTCCATGACCTGTACGCAGCCTGATATTGTATGTTAAACCATCAAATAAAGCATTTATTATTCCACTATTGTGTCATTTTCTAGTATTTCAGCTTATAGTTTTCGAAATACATCCTGCATCATGCAAAAATCATACTGTTCAAAAAAGATGATGCAAATGACGAAAACTACACAAATTGAGGTCATTAAAATGTAATTTCTTTCATTCACAAAAAAGTTTGCTCCAGTCAAACTTAAAAGGTTGTCACAAGTTAAACAAGTTAAAGTTTGGGTCGCTCAGTTCGACCATTTCGTTGTTCTGCCATTTCCGTTTGTATTTGCTCTGTTGTAAACCTCTGCAGTGCGTTACAGGCATTCTCTAGACCTCATAAGGTAAATTGACATATTGGTGGAATAATAAAGAAAGATAACGTAATTTCTTAAAAACAGTTTCTGTGTTTTCAGACTTATCTCATTTTGAATAATTTTTGTTAAATATTTTGTATTTGGCAACTTTAAGATGGTTGTAAGTTCTTTTTATCAGACAGAATAGAAATGTCAATTGTAAATAATAATTAATCAAGTTGCTTGCAAGTTAGTGATTCAATGAACCACATTGGTATATTCTTTATAGAGGGTATTAGATTTCTTGATTGCATCATTGTGTGACATTGATATATAGTCATTCAATGGTCAGGTATTTCACCCCACACCCAAACAAGAGTGCTACTTGTAGTTACTGAAGTCCATGCGCAGCTTAATAGATGGCTGAGTGGGGGCCACTTTAGGCTGTGCAGCAGGCTGCTTCTGCTTGGCAGATGCCTGATTGGCCCTGACTGCACCTTCTAGTTGTGACTTCAAGTCTGGTGATGAGCCTATGACTGTTCTGAATGGCTCTGGATATTTGGGGCCAATTTTCATGAGTTTCTGAAGAGCCTGTTCGTGAAGATTCTTGGTTATTCTGCTTCCTTTAGGCAGGGAAGTGCTGTCTGACAGTAAAGATACCAGGATTGGAACTAGTAGCCCAAGCATATGCACCCCTGAAACAAGCAAGCAAAAAGTTGTGCTTTGACATCTATAAAGAATATACCAATGTTCATAACTCACAACTCTGCACTGTCTGCAAAGAGAACTAATAAAAATATCTAAGGTCTCCTTCCAAAAAACTTGGTACATTTTGACCTCTAAGGTCCCTCAACAGTACCAGTAGGTAACAACCCTCCAAGAGTAGTAACCTCAAAAGTGACTTGACATACCATTTAAAAAATTCTAGGGTGCAAAAAATATCACTTGTGTATTCTTCATAATCATTATTTCAAGGAGGTATATTATGCAACAACCTCTCTCTAGCAGATTATGAGATGACATTGATAATAGCAAACTAAAAACGCCACAACACACCAGGGTAGGAGATACTTAAGGTAGCAACCGACAGCAACTCTTGCTTCTAGAGTGCTTTCCAAACTTGACTTCTGGGAGTCTGTTTTTCTCTTGCAATTCAGCAGGGGTTATTAGGCGAGACACTTTATCCTAAAGGGGAATGGGACGAGACACGGCCAAGGCACGGCATGCACACACGCCCTTGTCCCGCCTTCTTTCCTACTTGGCCCTTTTGCGTTCACGATGTTTAAACATTCGTTTAAGTGACCCTTAGAGAAAAAACTGGCTGCCAGCAGACCATTTCCATACCTACCAAGAGCATCTTAGTCAATGATGCACTGCTAAATGCATGAATCAATTGTTATATAACATTGCCAGTGTAAAACATTAATGAACAACAATGACTTTTTGCAGAAGAAAAATTTCTCTGGCAAAGGGGATTGAACTGGTTTCAGTGTCATGGTTATAAGACAGATAGCTTGAGAAGACTACTTCCATTTGCATTGTTTATCTGCAGTTCAGACACAAAACCAGTGAAAGGGCAAAGTGATGAATAAAAAATACCTCTTATTTGATGATTAAAAAGTACCTCTAACTTGGAATACAAGACAGAATGACATACTTAGATTATTATCTGTGAGTTCCACTAAATTCTCCAGTATCTTGATGGCCTCTAAGGTGACCGTCAACTGATCCTCACTGGTTGGTTTATTGACACACATGTCATTCAAAATCATCACAATGTGAGGAGCTAAAGCATTGATGAAGGGAAAGGCAACGCTGCGTTCTCTGCACTGGAAGACAGATTCCAGTGTTTGTAAAGCCTTTAGCTGAACCTTAAGAAAAACAGATGAAGACGGTTGAGCCAATGGACTAAGAAACAAATTTCACTATAAATTCACATTTGACCAATTCTCCATGTAGCTGGTTTTTATATCCAAACATATTATGGGGCAGATTACTCCCTTTTATTAGCTACTAGTACATAATTATCTAGGTATGAGCAGCCCTGAGGGATATAATTATGGTTCTTGGCCATTTTGGTCAGACAGTGTCTTAGTGTTTCCACATTGTAGACTGAAATAGGGTACATCTTGATGCTGTTCTGGAACTGGGTAGGGTTTTTAGGAGAAACTGTCTCTGTTCATAATATATAATACAAAGAGAATAGACCATTTTAGCAATGCTAAGCAATATCAACAATTTGTTGTATTTTTCATTTAGCAAAAACACACCTCCATACCTCCATAGATCAATTAATCATGCCCAATTTAGTAAATATGCAAGGTTTCATAAGAATCCATTGCAAATTCATATGCTGTGTGGTACCCCAAACTTGTCAATTTTTACAAAGACATCCATGCCAGGGGGTGTGTTACACACTGGCATAAATTTCTATGAAAAAATTGGCAAGCTTGGGGTCCCATATTTTCTTAGCTTCCAACAGATTCTTATGAAACTTTGCATACTACTAAGTTTGGGGTGATAAATCAGGGGGTGAGAATTTTCTTTTTGTTTGAACGAAAAAAATCAGAAAAGTGTGACACTGGAAAAAAGGTCCATTTGAACAAATTGCCTCAAATTCATGATGAAGCTACATCAAGAGACAATATCATTCTTCCTTATTTTCAGGCTTGAAAAGAAAGGCCTTCAATCTGCAAATTTGTTTCTGTTCCATTACTCATTTTTACCACATCTGTCCTCAGCTAGAGGCATTTGATTCCCTAGTATCACCCTAATGTGACTGTGGTATTTGGCCACCATTTTTTGCCTGGGAAAAGGAATGAGAGTAACTCTAAATTTAAAATCTTAAAAGATGAAGTTTAAAATTTAATGGTAGATCCCACTTGGAATTCTAAAACTCTCAAACCTAATTGAAAATGGAAGAGATTCTTTGGTAGCTGAGATCATGTGTCAGATAGCTGTTAGGTATTGAAATAGGGCATGGAATATCAAATAGTTTGGTTCAGAAAGGGCTAATATCAAGAAGATGGCGACAGGGTATGAATGACTGAATGAAAACTTTACAAATATGTCCGTGTATTGAGCTATGGATTAGCTAATTGGGGACACCTAACGTAAGTCAATAGCTAGTAACTTGTTTACAAAAATTAATAAACAAATGTTGAAGTTGATCCCACTTGGAATACCCTCATTCCCATTACGTTATCACCAGCATCACAGACAGTAAACACTTATTACACTGTCAATAACCACTGACAAAAGCAGTCTTGATAAGGACCTTCATCAGTTATGTCACAACTGTGGAACAATGGAAAGAAATTCAGAGTCCCAAACAGGGTTTGATCCTAAAACATTCCACACCAGTCAGAAACTCTAACCACTCCGCCACTTAGAGCTCTAGGCAAGCATGTCACTTTATAAATAACTAATCAAAGAAAAACAAATACAAGAAATTGCATGCAATGAAGTGCAAAGACCATCTGGCAAACTTTGAAAAGAAGTTAAAAGAACACTTGAACAGACCTGTATTGTTGATCTGATGCACCTGGTGAACACTTTGATGCATTGTTGCTGAAGATCAGATGACAACACTACTTGTTTTGGTGCTGACAGAATAAAGATGGCTAATGCAAGCATCACCACTGAGTCATCCATACTGGGTGATTCAGATGCTGCAGCACTCAATGTTGTAAATTCTGTGTTTGCCTTAGCATCTGACAGGACTGTGGCCAATGCACTATGGTTTAAAAACAGCAATAATCAGCATTTATTAGAGCCTGAATTTCAGTTGTGTCCACAACACTGTGACAGGAAGTGGCCCAAACTGATCTTAATAAGTTTTCAGTGCTTGCCAAATCAGCAGTTAATTTTCCATTAAAATTTCAACCCAGTGCTTCTGAGAAGCGCGAGAATCTTTGTGAATGTATTGTTGTCATAGTGTCCAGTCACAATTTGTAACCTTGCAATGTAGTATTCCAATCCTCTTCTTGTTTCCTATTGTTTAAGTAAAGCAACTAAGCAAGAGTGTATTTGTACAAGATGTAAATTACTTTGATTAATAGTATGGAAAAAATGTATAATTAAAACTTAATTAACATGTCAAAACTTCCTAGATGAGGGGAAGTCTGCCTGACTAATCATAGACAACTATCCACTGAGTAAAACAAAATTTTTAACAAGGCTAAAAATGTTTAACAGACTACAAAAGTAAGAAACCTAACATTTTCAACGTTGTGTCATCTTCAGGGTGACTAACTACTTACCACTGTTGAATTAAAAATCATAAAAGATACAATCACTTACATGTAGCTATACATATACTGTAAATCCTTGAGTTGGGGACTCCCCTCAAATAAGCACCCCTCCTACTTGCCAAATTCAAAATAAGCACCTTCCCTCAAATAAACGCCCTACTCCCCTTCCCCCTGTTTTATGGACAAGTACCAAGATAACAAAAGATGCAGAATTCTGTGTTGGTTGTGTTTAATCACAAGGCAAGTGATTATCAACTCATTCAAGCAATGCATATTGACCATCACATCAGATGGTAGTGAAGATCCCCTGATTCATGGCCTAAAACCCAACCAACCTTGTGCAGCATGCATAGACCAGCTAAGGTGGTTACATTACGAAGTTCAAGAGAGAGAGGGTCCTTCTGAAGGACTAACACATACCAGGTCCCCATGATCATGCACATACATAAATTATATAAATAACCACCACACTTTGATCAAGTGCCTCCTCCCATTAACACCCCTTGTCTTCTCCAAAATTTGAAATAAGCATCCCAGGCAATAATTCAAGGATTTGTGGTAACACAAATAATTTATATTAAAATGTACATTAGGAATTTCTGTGGGGCATAAACCACAATCCTTTCAATGTCTATTCCTAATGAGAGGAGTAAAATCCTGTTTGTGTTATAATATGGTTTTAAATTGGTTTGAAGATACAAGGTTCCTGATGTGGAGGGATGGATTGTTACACAGTAAAAAACTGTTTTAATCCAAGGTATCTAAGGAAGCATTAACCATAGGTTAGAGAGATGAATCAAGTTAGAATGAATTCTCATTTTCTTAAATGATATGAACAACTATTAAGCTCAAAGGAAATTTATATTTAATCTTATAATTTATATAAAAACTGAGTCCTGTAATTGCTTGTAGAGAAGTGGTATTAAGCCTGCTTTTACCAATAGCTTGTCACAGGTAGAATGTTTGCTACCCTAAGCCCAGTTTCTTGAAGCAAATATCATTCAAAAATATCATTCAAAATACTGCGTACAATTGATTATAAACTAATGCATTTATTTCCTGTCATTGTAAACAACCAGTGAAACAAGTTGACAAGATAAACTGAATGGTCTAGACAGATTCTTTTTTTTTTTACAATTTGCATGAAAAATATAAGCATGATATCACCAGATGCCATAAGTAATATTTGATTACAATTTCTCTCTCAGGAGTATGCAGTCAGGTGCCCCAAGTGACTCCCAAATAAAAAGGACAGGGGTGCTTGTCATACCTTTTAGGGTTGAGAAAGCCAAAATTTAGGATACTTTGATTAAAATGATTAAAATAGTTGGTAGCCTTTAAACAAAGCAGGAAAAACAAGTCTAACTTTTTTCAAACCAGTAAAATAAAGAATTATCCTCTTTGGGCTTTGTGCACTCATTACTTGGGGATTGGAGTTATGTCAAAGTTATGGGAGTGTGTGATGTAAAAAAGGGTATAAATGTAATGAAAACAGAAAAATAGGACTTGAGACAAGTAAGAAACATCATCCTAACATTATTCTGCAGACAGTACCTAAGAAAGTAAAAGTTAGTAATGTTAGTATTGTACAAGCACAAGTCTCACCTTTGCAGCAAGTCAATCCAATCCTTTGAACATTTCTGGTGCTGTGTCAATGGTGATGTGGTAAGCTGCTTTAGAGCCTGTAACACTGCAGACACCGGTTTCTGTGATGAGGAATCCCTTATTGAGGCCACCTCACGTAAAGTACAAGTCAGAAGGTATAACGCACTTGGTAACACATTAACAGAAGCTTCTGGTGTACACAAGGAAGGCACAGATGGCAGGATGGAAACTGCTTCAGATATAAGTTTGGAGCTCTCCTCAGATAATGCTTAAAAACAAAAACAATTTTGTCGTATGTTTACCTCTAGCTGCAGAATTCAATAAGTCTCTTTTAAAAATTAAACAAGTACCCCTTACATCCTAGTTTTCCACAAACAAGTCCAAGGACAAAGTATACTTTATTCAATATCTCAATATTGGTCTCTTCAGTTTTCAATTTTACTGCCGATTGTCTGCAGGAATATAAAATTCATTGAAATTAAAGGAAGAGATGCTATAAAATTCAAAACATGAGAAACTTGTATGGAGGTGTGTCAAATGGTTCATTATTATCTGATAACAAAACATGAATCCTGCTAGGACTAATAATGGGTGATCACCAGAAATACCTGTACTGTACAGGTATGTGGGGTTTTCTTCTTTGTGTCACATCTTCCCTAATTCAGAGTTATATTGTGATCATAAGAAAAGGTCAACCCAACCACTTGCGAATCAGACTTGAATGTAAATAGCAGCGTGTTGATTATTGTGCACAATGACTTGTAAGGTCCCTATGCAAAAGGTTTGTGTACTTCTGCATAAATTTAAATTATGAAGTGAATAAATACAAATCACTGGCTTGCCAATGGTGTGTATTTACCAGCTAATGCTTCGTGAACCAGAATGGTTAAATAAAATAATTCTGAAGAGAAAAAGAGTGGTCTGTTATCAAGTATTACCTTGAAATTACGGTGATCTCTGCAGAACATTCGAGCAATAATCCCAAAAATTAAGTTACTATTATGATAAAACCCCCATGGCATGGCAATGTTTTGAATACAGATGAGAGGAACTTATCGAGACTTAAGCTAACAAGCTTACCCTGCGAGAGAAAATTGAACTTGAAGTCATCCATACTTCAATCACAACAGACGTTTCGTGTTAGTTAAAAACATAATAAAATACGCTTTAAGCATTCTTACGACGTTTGACATTAATTTCCTTGAGAATGCTTGAGAATTTATTTGCGGGGTTAGACACTAACTTTTCAACTTAATAGCCTAGTGGCTAATGATAACTTAGATGTTACTGAGCAAAACTTTTTTAGACTAGCCAAGCATTGTGGTTGGCTACCTTATTACTTGAAATTTTCATAACATGTTCATTTTGCGACTTGGGGTGCGCATATTTCGTGACACTTAAATTCAGTGATTTTGCAAAAATTTTGTATTTTGAATCACTTTAACTTCGCGCTTTTGAGTGACACAAAATTTATTTCCCTGGCAATGTGACTTAAACATGTCTTTGAATTTAAAAGACTTTATCAAAGGTACAATGGCGTCAAAAGTAACAAAAACGCAATGGCGGCACTATATGTCAACAGTAACATAATGTGTTATGTTCCCGACACTTACTTATTCGCGTCACTTTAATTTCATGATTTTTTTTAAATGTCCTTGGCTGGGGACATTGTGTTGTGTACTTGGGCAAGACACTCTCTCACAGTGCCTCTCTCTACCCAGGTGTATAAATGGGTACTGGCGAACTTAATGCTGGGGGTAACCTTGTGATGGACTAGCATCCCATCAAGGGGAGAGTAGAAATACTCCTAGTCGCTTCATGCTATGGAAACCAGGATAAGCTCCGGCCTGATGTGCCAATTGGCTCGTATACAGACTTTACCTTTACCTTACCAATAACAGCAGAATTACTAGAAAGACTTGAAAGCACAATGCAAGCTACTCTCTTTAGTACATAATGTTTGTAATTATACTGTACTTAAACTAGTTTCAAAAAATTCTAGTTCCCAAAAGGACTTTCAGGACTCTCTTTTTCTTTGAGACTTCCTTGGAAAAACATCGAGACCCCAAGGACGTCACTGTAAAAACTGTTGAGACTTCTTCACAGACATGCACCGAAGAAATGTTTCAAAAGCAAAACAACTATCTGAACAGCACTGCAAACTGTCGTTGACAAAATTCGACTGCTAAAAACTGCTGATTCAAATGTCAAAGGAAATAAATCTTTCTCATCTAATTATTTCTGTAGAGGTAAGTTTGTAGTATGCATACAACGACAAATCACCCATGTATTGTTACGCTAAATAAAATTTTATCCCTTTAAAGTTCTGCACTATTTTACGCATGAAAAAAATTTTGTAACAAAAAAGAGCATCGACGGGTGCTTTCAGAAAATGTTGTCTTGTTTGTCAAATATTTCTTTCAACAAAATTGACATGTTCAGTTCCCCCTTTACGTACCACCCAGCGAAAAGTAGACAAACTTAAATTTGCATATGTGCTGAACACCACATGCCCGGTACCATGATATGTCCACAATGAAATTCTGACCTTTTTTTGTGAGACAAATGTAAATTTTGGGTGTGTTCCTTTGGAGTGATCCGGATCCGGATCAGTGATCCAAGATCACTCGGATCATGGTGCATCAAAGGAACTGACGAATCCACTCTGGTCACGGATTCATTGGTTCCTTTGATGCACCATGATCTGAGTGATCTTGGATCACTGATCCTGATCCAGATCATCCCAAAGGAACGCACTCTTTGTGTTTGTCTTCCTTGAAGAAGACAGGAACTAGTTCAGTCAATTTCATTTTGTTGACTATCCAAAGTGGCTAATGAAAATCGAAAACCTACTAGCAAAAACTAAATTTCTACTAGTCTGTGGCTAGTTGGCTACTGTTAGTGTTGAGCCCTGTAGATTGCAGTTAGCTTTATATTGGAGTGTGTCAGTTGGTATGAGTGGTCTCTAGTAGCAGTGATTCCCAGTACTACAGTGATCATGGTTTAGTATATTGTGCATTGCACTCTGCATAAATTAATATGCATAAATGAATAAATTAATTAATACTTAATGGCAATCCACTGACCTTCAGAGTGTTGTCAGTTCTATTTCAATACACTTTTACTGGCGTTCACTTGTAACAAAATGGACCTACTTATCCTACCCCTACACATCTTTGCCTATGGAAACTCCCTTCTATACTATAATTATTTTTGAGCCATGTTGGTCTGAAATAGGGTATCGGTGCTCTGAAGTAGGGTTGTTTTTCACTATGGTAGGCCTGAAATGCTATAATAATTGTGACTGAAAAAACTTTGAATACAAAACACAAGTTCTGATTTGTTCTGTAGACCTTTGTTTTCCATGAGGCCATGTAAACACAATATGCATTTTCTGTTGCCACACTTCCTCCACTGTAACTCTGTACTCAACTATATGAATGCAATATGACCCATATTAAGTTCCCATTTTGCTCTGAAGAAGAGTCAAACGGTTTCTTCATGAACTCAATACACCTGTCTGTAATCTAATACTATCAACAACTTCATAAAGAGCTAAGCGTATCACCAGCCTGCCGACACAAGTACCTTAGTTTAGTGTTCAAGTTGATAAATAGCTAGCCAGTCGATGCAGCCCAAGAATTTCTTTAGAAACTGTTATTTTGTATTCAAGTTAATAAATAATCTTCCACTAGCCTGTCGATGTAGGCCAAGAATTTCTTTAGAAACTAGTACCTTTGTACAGCTGAAAGTAGGTCTTAAGTATTAATATCTTATAAATAAATCCTGACTTGGCAATTACAACATACATCTAAATCCAGAACCAATGGCCACCAGAAGAACAGGCTGTTGACTGGATGAAGCAGAAGAAGGAAGCAGGTTTGGAAGCTGTTTTGTAAGAACACACATGCAGATCTCCATGACACCAAATACCAAAGACTGTCCAGGAGTCAAATCAACCTCTCCTTCCCCATCTAAATCTGCACTGCTACCACTTCATAAAAGAAAAAACAATTAGCATTTATTAGCATTTGCTTCGTAATCCAATAGCATAAAATCCCACTTTAAAGCCCCCCCTGGTTATAAGCCCCCACCCTGGATATAAGCCCATCTATTTGCCAACAAAGATATCATTCCGGATATAAGCCCCCCAGGTATAAGCCCATCTAATGTATAAGTGTGTTCGAAAGTTGTAGGAATAAACAAGTGGCTGTGGAGTTTTGAACAATATATACATATAATGATACCAAAGAGTGAAACAAATCTTCATGGGTATATAACAATGCTATGAGTTTTCTTCCACTGTTCATTTACAACACAACTGTTCAATGACTAGGTTTTGGAGTACGGTAACAGAGCAAACAGCTAGCTACAATCTGGCAGTTTTCCATTAACACAGATTTTTGTAGTGTCCCTATAATGAACTCTGAGCCTTCCGTATTCCTTTCCTCACTTGCACTTTGTGTTTCTTGCTCCTGTAAAATAAAATGTAATACACACATGGTAATTCAATTTGAGCACCAATAACCCAAGTGCCCTTCGGTGCCTTCCTTGCTTCCCCGGTAATTTCACCTGTCATGTGAAGCCTTTGAGCCACTGGCTCATAGCTGCTGGAGCTTATCCTGGTTTCTGTAGCATGAAGCAGCCAGGAGTATTTCTACTCCCCCTGGATGGGATGCTAGTCCACAGCAGGTCAATCCCCTGCAATTTGTTAGGTTTCCCCAACAATTCGCTGGTACCCATTTATACGCCTGAGTGGAGAGAGGCCCTGGGGGGGGGGGGGGGGGGGGG